TGATGTCACATGTTAGTAAAATACCCATTAACTGGACGCGAAGATATCAGGTACATTATTTAGAGTATTCTTAATTCTAAAACAATAAACTTTCACTTTATATTTATAGTGTTATCACTTCAGTTGTGTCTTGTCACATAAATATTAAAATGTCTAACGCAGCTGAAACTTCGGTTGATGAATTTGAATCTACAAACGATCTCTTTCGCCGAGCAGTAGAAGTATACTAACGACAAAATAGAGAGAAAATTTTGAAAAATTCCAACTAGAATATAATTCTAATGCTGAAAAAATAGTCATATCTTCTTGGAACTATTCCGAGGTAGATAAACCTACGCGTGAGGCTCTCGAAGCTTTGCTACGTCCGGCAAAAAAACACCACGCCCGTCGTGTAAAACACCATAGAAGACGTGAAAAACATAAAAAACGACTAGAAATTACAGTAGATGTGTACACTCAAGTTAGTACTTTAGTTACTGGAAAAAGAGGTTCAGATTGGACCAATGTCGCGATGTGTGAAAAAGGTGAAAAAGATTCTTCTACAATCACCATTGAAACCGCTGGACTCTACCGAATATCATTAAGTGGAAAATGTTTTACAAGTGCAGGAGCGCTACGAGTACTTCAAACTCCTAGCAAATTACTTGTCTTAAGTAAAGCAAAAACACATCGTATTGGTGATACTAAATCTGAATGTAACTATAGCGATTTTATAGATGTAGACTTACCTGCTGATGCAACATTAGTTGTTCAACAGATAGGAACTGCTAGAGTAATTATCACACTCACTATAGAATCTTCAACGGTTATTTGATGAGGATTTGCTACACGAAGAGCTAGATGGTTTCGAAGGCTTTCCTTCGCTTTCTTCTTCATTAAGAACACTTCGCGTTTGGCAAAGGGGGTGAGCCGACCTCTGAAGGTGTTGGAACTTCTTTAGAATCTTTTTTAGACGTTTTAGACATTTAATTTACTGCACTTAGAAACCGATGTGCGTTGTAGTTTATTAACGTTGGGTCGCATATATTCCCATATGCAGCTTCGCAACCTACAGAATTTGTTATAACAGGTGGTCTTATTTTGACTTCATCCTTAGGCCTAATAAGTCTGCGCTTACACTGTTCCGGAAGAGGTGTGGGTGGAGCTACATTAGCACGCTTTCTTGATGTAGATTTAAGTGGTTGGAAAGCTTCAAGAAATCAGTTCAAAGCTCTTCCACTTATAACACTTTGCTTATATAGATGTAAAATTTCTCTGACAGTATCCACAATATCACATCAAACTAATATCACATCAAACTAATATCGCATCAAACTAATATCACATCAAACTAATATCACATCAAACTAATATCACATCAAACTAATCTTAACTGTATATAATGAGTATAAAAATGTTTATTAGTCTGATGTGTTTATTCTTCTAATTGCATGTAGCCTGCTTCTAGTAACAATCTAGTATGTAATTTAATATGTTCTTCTCTCTGTCTTATTATTATATTATTCAATTTTTTCTCTGTTTCTCTTCTTTCTTTTTGCTCTTGTCTTTTCATACGTACTCTTTTGGATTCACTATTCATCTTACCACGTACCCTACTATACGCTACACTCTAACTAATAGACCCCGAAGGCCAGCTGCGCGGGCGCTGGGGGTGGGCCGGCCGTCTTTGGCTTCTGCCGTTGTCCAGTGTTTTGTCTTCGCTGTCTTGTAATTATGCTAGTATAATTACACTATATGCTTACTATATATGTCTTTCAGATATACATAGTAACCACGTACGCGAACTAGGGTTGGGGCGCTTAGAATGCGTATACTAGGTCCCAAACTGCGAAGTGTTCTAGAAACGACGCTTTGTATACTACCAAAGTTGCCATGCAATAAGCAAAATGTAACATTAAAGATATTGAAAGTAACATTAACAAAAATTCAGTTAAAATAACAAACACATATTTCTTCCTAAATGTTAGTTAAAAGCCTTCATCAAAAATTGCCTCATAGAAATCTCGAACTCGTAATCTAATTTGTGTTGAGCCTACGTCTAACAGTTAAATTTGTTTAATTATTCTAAAAAAAATAATATTTTAGCATTTATACATCTAACAAAACACACTCTATCATACAAGTGCAAGTCCGAGAAAAGCAAGCAAGACCGAAGGTCGAGGGTTTCTGGTCGAGGGTCTTTCACACGTCTCCTCACCAGTGCAAACACGAAAAAATCTTTTATTTATGTAAAACAAAGCAATGCGAAACATAAAAATTTCAAACAAATGTTTCGATTTTCTTCAAAAATGTATTCATGATTGATTTATATTCTTTTTGATGGTATGATTGATTGATTGATTTAATTGATTGAGCTCAGATAAGTTCGCATAGGCTGATGGCGTATGCAAACACAGCTTCATCCACCAGAACTATTTTTTAATTTTCGAAAAGGATCAATTTAAATTTCAGGTAAATATTCCTGAGAATGCGCTGTTTTCTCTTTATACAGGGTTTATTAATTAAAGTTGACTCTTAAGCTCTTAAACTTTCTCTTGCAGTTGTATGATGTTTTGGTAGGGCAGGCCAACCATACGCACAAAGGAAACGATATTTTGTTTAATAGAAATTGTTCATGCTATCTACATACAATCCGAACAAAGAAATCAATAATATGGGTACTTGTTTCACATATGTATATATTCACTTATACTAAAGATTGCACCATGAGATGTCGAAACATTTCTATTTTAGAAAACTAGTCGTTTATACAATTGCACATAACATATAATGCTGTAGCTTACTCCAGGCAGGCAAAGAAAAAAAATAGGTACGCACTACGTTCATGTGGGGAGCCGGCCAGGTATATAGGTACAAAGAAGTGAATGAACATAGTTAATAGAAATAACATGTTTGGTATTATGTTTGTCAAATTTGTTAAAGATTTGAAAAATGTACTTTTAGCTCAATGTTCAGCCATATGACTTAGTAATTGTAGCCGTTTTTGCATTTTTCGAACGAATGAGCGTAGATTGCGTGTCACGCCTAACTGTGCTTCTACAAGCCTTGCATCTAGAAAAGTGACGTTCAACAGATTTCACCCAACTTTTAAAGTTTAATTCATTATGATTTTCACTGAAATGTATTTTCGGTATAATACAAATTATATAACGTCGATAATATATGTTTCAAAACAGTTTTATGACGTGTCTGACTCGCTAATGACAAGTATTAGTTTACATATATCGACACTTGTATTACTTTTAACCAACAAGCCGTGCTGTTTATCATTTCTTTTTCTCGTTACATTTGGAAAATTCTATAATTCAGACGATCTTATGTTTTATCTTTGAATGCAAAGCTTTGCACGTTGCAAGTGATCGCTTATTTTTATTTTCTGTTCATGGTTTGACACGTATCATATTTTATTTAACTTGATAAGAAATTACAAATCCACACAAATAATATTTTTTATTATATATTAGAAATAGTATTTCGTACAATGTTCGAAAGCAAATATATTCATTTGCTTTCTGCCTTTCATTAAATTCACAAACAGACTACTGCGATCAGATTAAACCGAGGAATGTATTAACAATAGACTACAAAGCTTGAACCGTTTGCCGAAGCGAAATATAATTGATTTTTTATCACTTGCGAGCACGCATTTAAATAATATCTTGACTTCTTGTTACGATTCTTTTTATAGCTTTTATCTGAAGTTTGTGAAGAGTAAGATTTTTAATAATTCTTATTTTATAAGACTATGCTTTCAGATGATTCCTCGCCGATTGTAAATTACTTCTGCTTGATCTTCCGTATTCCGGTGTAAGGACGCACAAACGAGCAATGAAGACATCAAGTTGACAAACAGCTTAACATATAGCAAGCTTATACAAACTTGAATGATAACAATCAATATGCCCTTAATAACCGAGTGCAAGCTCTTTACGGAGAAACATCGGACCGAAGTTTTTTTTGCAGACGAAGACGTAGGGCGAGCTTTGTACAAAAAGACAAAGGTCCAATATTTCTTAGTAAAGACCGAGAAAGCGAGGTTATTAAAAGGTTTATTATATGGCATTATTTGATTTGAAACGAAGCTTGCTTTCTTTCTTGTCCTTGCTGTTTTTTATAGGTTGGCTTTCACTTTCCTAGTTTTCGTCCATAAAAAATAAAACGTTTTAAATTGTATTGTCTTGATAGTTAATGTGGTTAGACTGTTTTCCAAGTGTAATTTAGCAAATGCCATCAAATTTTTGTAAGGGTTTTGGGTCTAGGACGCCAGTATGTCGTAAAATATTTTTAAGTTATCAGACCTTTTAGGAGTTCATAGAAGAATTGTATGAAACAAGTTTTATTTATTTCTGTATTTTTCTCCTGGATCGTTTTTTTCTATCATTTTAAATTAATTTTTGATACTAAAATATACTGCAATGTACTTATTTCAATAAAAATATAAATAAAAGAAAAATATCCGTGGCGTTGTGACTAAAATTTTTTGACTCTTCGTAACCCCCAAATTACAGTCGACTCCGTTGTTTGTTTTGGTCTTTTTCCACGCTTTAGGAAATAAAACATTGGAAGTTTTTACTTAAGTAAATATATTTAGGCCTATATAAACTTTTAATTTGCAAATGATAAGGATAATTACCTTATTTTTGTTCAGTAATTGAGTTTGTTTCATCTGTCATCGATAAGGCATTAAATTGTGTGTTTTCACGTCAAAATCATCAACACAACTGCCATGTTAGGGTAAACAATTAAAACTTTGCTGTTCGTTTTGCTTTTGAAAACTCAAAACATAGTTTGGTTATTAAAAAATACTTTTTTTACTAAGTATTTAGCTATAGGATTCTGGACCGCGTTCATGCACCGTAAAATTGGAATTTAACTACAGGAGGATTCTCAAGTGCCGTCAAATATTGTTAAATTCCGCCAGCTGCTACAGCCAATCAGATTGCAATAAAAGAGATTTGTGTATCGTATAATTTTACTTGCTTGTCATCTCTTTTGTACAGATGGAATCAAGAGAAGAAAGAAATCTGATATACATTCGTCGAATATTTGGTGTGGTTCAAAAGAAACTTGCTCAGTTTTTATCAAAAATGGAACTTTCGTTACAAATCAACCCATGGAGAATGGGATGACACAAACAACAGTGGGAACACATTTTACAAACTTGAAATACGTGAAAGGCTTCCTCAAAGAGTAGCAATGAGTTTTCGCAATGGAGATACCAGTAAATGGGACTGTACAACATTATTTCATGCAATACTTTTTTCAAATTCAATTGGAAAGCATCTTGATGGAAAAACAAAGGATGCTGTTGATGCACTTCGTGTTGTAAGAAACAACGACGCACATTCGTATAAAAGCAAATGCTCAGATGATGATTTTGATAAAATGGTCAATATCATTAGAAATTCATTTGAGCAATTGCAGTTTTCTCTCAAGAAAATCATTCAAATATTGGCTGCTCGAAGCAGTTTTATTTCATTTCAAGTTCTTTCTTCTAAACCTAATCATTTTCTCGTTGAACGTACTGAATTACGAGATCAAATTATAAAAGATCTTGAAAAATTAAGGAATGATAACAATAATAAACTGACATATTTTACATCACTGGAAATCCTGGTAGTGGTAAATCTCAACTTGCAAGACAGGTTTGTGAAAAATATCGTGTGATTGGAAAAGTGGAACTTCGTTTGTAATGATTCTCGATGGAAAGAATGAGGAATCTCTTTTAGAAACTTACTGTAAGCTTGGATCCCAATTAAACTGTGACAAGTATATGATTGAAAAAATTGAAGATAAAAACTGTTCCATCACAGACAAAGTGAAGAATTTGCAAACATTAATATTAACTCGAATAACATTCTTGCAAAATTGGTGGATTATTGTAGACAACGTGGTACAGCTCAGCAAAATTTCTCCGTTACTTCCCCAAGTGGGTGATCCCATGTGGATAAATGGACAAATCATAGTAACTATCCAGAACACAGATGCCGTACCTCAAGATGATGAGTTTAACAAACATATTTCTATCAGAAGTGGAATGAATGATAAAGAATGTTGTCAGTTGTTGAATTCTTACACTAAAGATGAAAATGCTGACGATCAATTGTTGAAAGAAGTTTCGCACGCATTAGATCGTCAACCGCTGGCTTTGGCTGCTGCTGGTTATTACGTCAGTCGTGTAAAGAAAGTAAATTGTTTATTTACTTGGAGTCAATATTTAGTGAAATTATCTTGTGGAGAACAAGAAGACATGGACGCAGATTTTGTTGAGTTCAACACGGTATATTCCAAAAGTATGTTACAAGCTACACTTTCAGCTGTTAGACGAAATGCTAAAATATCTTCAATCTTTGCCAAGGTTATTAGCTTTTTCTCCATGATATCGTTTGATCCTATACCACGTGATATCATTGCTTCTTTTGTTCAAAATATTGATCCCAGCGTTTCTTTCAAAGATATTTGTCTGCACTTACAGGACTGTTCTTTGTTCTTGAATTCAGAAAATAATGACATTAGTTTACACCGCATTGTTTACAAAGCAATTATTGTTTATCAATCTGAACATTCAAATAATGAATATAAAATGGAAAGCAACGTTGATCAAACATCTAAAGCACTTTATATGTTTAAAGAAAGAGACGACGAAATCAAATTGATGCCACATCTTGCAAAATTTTTTCAAATATTAAAGACCAAAAAAATAAAAATCGACTTGAATACTTTACAAGTTTTCAAATATTTTGTTGACAAATTAAGACATTTTGGAAAATACGAGCTTGCTCTTGAACTATTGGATGAATTTAAATCAGAAGAATCTAGTTATGACAAAGCTTGGTATTTTAGTATCCTCGGTCTTTTATACCATGACATCGCTAAAAATCATCATAAAAAGGCTCTGGAAATTCAAAAACAATCGTTAGGTCCAATTCATGTTGATGTTGCTGGGTCTTTAAAGTATCTGGGTAATGTGCTTAAAAAAACTGGAAAGTACGACAAAGCTATAGAGTTTTACGAAAAGTTTTAGATAATCAAAACGATCGTTAGGTCCAAATCATGTTGATGTCGCTATGTCTTTAAGCAATCTTGGTTTGGTGTTTACTGAAACTGGAAACTACGACAAAGCTATAGATTGTCAAGAAAAAGCTTTAGATATTCGAAAAGAATTGTTTGGAACATATCATGTTGATGTTGCTACATCTTTCAACAATCTTGGTGAGGTGTTTACTAAAACTAGAAAATATGACAAAGCTATGGAGTATCTCGAAATTGCTCTGGAAATTCGAGAACAATTGTTAGGTCGAAACCATGTTGATGTCGCTGCGTCTTTTCATAATTTTGGTGTTGTTTTTTATGATACTGGAGACTACAACAAAGCTGTATATTTTTACGAAACAGCTCTGAAAATTCGAAAACAATTGTTAGGTCCAAATCATGTCGATGTCGCTGAGTCTTTAAACAATCTTGGTTTGGTGTATTGGGAAACTGGAAACTACGACAAAGCTATAGAGTTTCATGAAAAGCTCTGGAAATTCGACAACAGTTGTTAGTTCCAAATCATGTTGATGTCGCTGCGTCTTTGAACTATCTTGTTTTGCTGTTTCATAAAACTGGGCAACACGACAAAGAGAAAAAGTTTTATGAAGAAGCTCTAAGAGTTCAAAATTGAAGTTGCTAGGTGAGAGCAAACTATTGTTAATGTGTCTTTGAGCAGGTTTGATGCAATGTACGAAGAAAGTTAAAATACTGATAAAACCAAAAATTGTGAAAATTCTATAAAAGCTCAGAGTAAATTTACAGGTCCAAGTCTTGCTCGTATTTTGCCGTCTTCAAAATATTTTGGTAAGTTTGTTTAGGTATTACACAACATAATGTGGGTTGCTCAATTGCGATGAGGAACTAAGGACGTAAATATATTTTTTCCTGTAAGCATGGCTTTGGCAAATTATTTTTCCATCACAAAATTATTTGGGGTTATTTTTTAACATTTTGTTCGCGCAAATGTGACTACTTTTCAACCAACTATAATATTACAATGATTATTCATTTCCAATTTTTCATATTAACAATTTTTTCGAATATATTAACTCATACCCTATACTACTCGGTTTTTTAAAGCTGTCTTTCTCAAAATCAAATTCATATACCTTCATGGTCACGTTTTTCATTGTGCTTACATGCTAGCAATAAAAGATAAAATAATTCCAGACTTTTCTTGTAGCTAAATCCATCAGTAATTAAACAACAACTCTAAAAAACATGTTTGTTTACAATTTTCGTTCTTGACCAGGTTGCATAAAATTGCATAAAGTTGTAGGTAATAGCTTCCTCCTCTTCTAAACAGACAGTCAGCATCAATGAACTCTATAAGTTTTTCTTTATAAAATGTCTTCCCAACGGAGATTGGCTTAACAATACAAGCCTAATCATTGTGTTTCACATAACAATGTTGAGCTAAGGCATGTGCCCTGTGCAGCATATGTTATTGTAAAATGGTACCATTTCTATGCATTGTGGAATATTTTATGTCATAGGCTCAACATGTTGAGAGCGTTTACACATCCCTCAACATCTCTCAAGACCATGTTGAGCGCATGTTAAGTGAATGTGTTAAGTGCATTTGTACGTAGCTTAAAGCCGCCATGCAGACAATATATCAAATTATATGGGATTATTTCACCTGAAACGAAGCTTCTTTCTTTTCTCGTCCTTGCTGTTTTGTAAGGACCAGTTTTTACTCGTAGCTTTAGTTTTGTCAGCAGAAATGATATTGTTTGAAGATGTGTTGTCTAGAAAATAAAATCCACTTTCCGAGTGTTCTTTTTTTGACTTACATTCTTACCATGGTTTTTTGTTTTGTTTTTTTTTTCATTTTACAATACATATAGTGTTGGCTTCATGAAGTTTGTTTAGCTACCTTTGTATGTGAAATAAGGCCTGATAAAAACTGGTTCATTTCGTCGCAATAACGGGCGCTCACAAGGGGGCATCCATTAATAAACTGTCCCCTCAATATTCCCTAATTAAATGAAGGTATGATCTTCGCACTTTGCTGGACAATTTAAGCAATTGTCTCATGAGCCAGAAAAATTCAGGTGACTCAACGGGATTCGAACCCATGACCTTTGCGGTGCCGGTGCAGTGCTCTGACCAACTGAGCTATGAAGTCAGACAGTGGAGAGCAGGTCAATTTTGTTGGGCTCATGTTTTCTCGTGAAAGGAATGTCATATGAAGAATGCTGTATGCAGTACTATATGCAATACTAAATTATTTATATAAATGACTCCAAAATGTCAGTCATATAAATCAGTGCGTTATATATGTATATGGCATTTTGGATTGTTTTACTGCTATTGGGCAAAACTAAATGAAAAATAAAGTTTTAAAAATCGATCATCCGAAACTTTTCAATCTATTAGCGTTATTTCTTTTCGAGCAGTAGCTACAATTCATTTTTTATTTCTTTTCAAAATAGAAATGCACAGCTTGAGTGGATAACACTTTTTAAAATATTGTTCGTAGAAATCACAAGTGTTGATGATGCTGATGCTAAAGATGTCGTAAATTCTCCTGGTGTTGAAAATACAAAACAAGGTATGCCTTTCAATTCTAATTCATTTTATATATATTGCATAAACTTAGCATATTTCTTTTGTAATGTATATCGGAATTCAAGCCTTTTGATTAATATATATGTGTTTTCATGAAGATTTATTTTATTTAAAAATATGATATATACAGTCCAAACGTTCGTTTAATACGTATATTCAATACAGTATCAAGGATATAAATTTTGCTTTTGCTAACGACGTTCAAATATTTTAAATGAAATGTCTGCTAGACGGCAGTGCTCAGCTTAACTTGAGAAGTCTTTGTTCACCTCAATAAATCCTGCGTATAATTGTACAACTTTTTCCCTATAGTTACTTAGGTACCTTCTCCACAGGAATTAGCGTCAACGGTTATGTAACATTTATCAATGTCTGAATTCATTAATAAGCTCTTAATATCCGAGGGTGTGATTGAAGTTTTTCGTGTAGACTGAGCAACTTAATGCAAGGTTTGTACTAAAAATAGAGGTCCGAGATTTCTCAGTAAAGAACGAGCAGGCGAGGTTAATAAAAGGTTTATTATATGGCTTTATTTGAACTGAAAGTTTTTTTTTCGTTTTTCGTCTTTGCTGCTTTGCATGGACTGGCTTTCGCTCCTCTAGTTTTTGCCAGCAGAAAATATATAACTTGAAATCGTGTCGTCTAGATAAAAAAAAACCAAGTGTCCTTTTTTGACTCACATTCATACCATGGTTTTTTGTTTTGTTTCTTTTTTCGTTTTAAAAAACGTTTGGTGTTTCCTTCATGAAGTTTGTATAGATACATTTATTTGTAATATTACGCCTGATGAAAGCTGGTCCATTACATGAAAATAATGGGTCGTATAAGACGTATAAGATGTACAAGATAATCGAATTGTTGATAAATCTGCAACGGTGCTAACATTACAACTGCATTGAATAGACCTAAGAATCACTTTAAAACTGGCCACCATCAATTGATCCAAAAATACGTAATCGATAAAATCAAAACAACTTTTTTGCTTGCTGGCTTTGCTATTGATTGTGTTGATTGAACTCACATAGTTAATTGACCTTATTTGGATTCGCCTGCTTTTTAACCCAAGGTTAGTTAACCCAGCGCTTAACCCTGCTTTGAATAACGCAATTTTAACCCAGGTTTAGCCAACTTTATGTTAACGAACTGAACCTAGTTTAGTTGTTAACTCTAGGTTAAGTTAATCGGCTTTTGAACAACCGGCCCAAGTTGTATACATGTTGAATTTTCGGACTCCGAACGATCGTTTATTATGTATGTTCAATACTGTATCAAAGACTTCAATTTTGCTTTTGCTAACGACAAATAATTTCGATGGACTGTGTACTAGACGCACAACTTGCACAACTTGATAAGTCTTTGTTTATCTCAATAAATATTGCGTAGAGGCAAAGTGGCGCGACTCTTTTATAAAGTGCTCAAATTGACTACATTTCATAAGTTTCATTAAAGAAAAAGGATTACAATGAATAGACTAAAACCTTTTAAAATAAATCTTGATATAATGTACACCATACAGATCAGACTCTGCATTTTAGAATTGTTCAGGTTAGACAACCTGTTTTAAAGTGCTTTAATGTGTTTTAACCATGGCAGTAAAATTTTGTCACTTAACAATTTGTACTTGAAGCACATTATCAGTCAGTTAAAAGTAAAATGAGACATGAGGTGATAATGACATCATGCAATCTACTTTTTTAAAGTAACGTTTATTTGTATTCTGCTTGTTTAATCATAAAAACTTCTCAACAAACTATCCTTTGGATATACTGTCATACTTCACGTTTGCACCACCATGCATACATTACCTAGCTAATGATATTGAAAATTATGCAAAGAACGGCCACCATCAAATCGACTTGCTCGATATACTTCAATAAATAAGAATTCCTGTTCATTGTAAGCAAAATACCTCAAAATCATATGGAAAATGAGCTAATTTGACGATGTGAATTCTCAAAGTTCCACAATAAAAGAAGGCTATATAAAATTTTCCTTATGACAAATGTAGCATTAAATTGCACATTTATTGAACGAACTTCTAAATTCTAAATTTACAGAAAAACAAGTTTTTGAGCTCTCTTCTTGCTAAGTATACTGGAGATTACCTCTTCAGTGTGAACATCATTCAAAAGTCCACAAAGATCATTTTCTAGCTTAACATTAAATTTTGAATACTTTTTACTCAGAATTGCATTTTGAAAGTTGCATTGAGCATAAAAGTTGCTGTATCAGTTTTTTCCACTAGAAAATTTCCCTAAATAAGCAAATAACGTTACTAATCGCAATTGTTAAAACAACGACTTTATTCATTTATTTCAATAAATTACTCCACTGATCTCAAAATAAATAAATATAATTATTTCGAATACATTAGAAGAGCAAATGAGTCCAAGATCTCATTTATAATTTAAATTGTGTCTTAATTGATGATTGTCAACTTGCTTGATGACCTCCATTAAAAGTGCACGTAAATCAGACCAAGCCACTTACGACTTAAGCCTCCTGATTGAGCAAGCATAACGCTGCTGATGAAATATCGCTTACAGAACTCAATGGCTGTGTCATGTTTTCTCAGATATTGTAGCACGGACCACTGTATAGAGGGCCAAAACTATAACTTTTAGTGTTGTTGGGGAGGTGTGTTTAAAATGCTGATGTTGAAATATAGCTTACAGAACATAATGGCTGAATCAGGTTTTCACAGATATTATAGCACGGAACACTGTATAGTGGGCCGAAACTATAAATTTTAGTGGGGTGGGGGAGGTGTTTTTAATAATGCTGCTGCTGAAATATCGCTTGCAGAACTCAATGGCTGTATCACGTTTCCTCAGATATTTAATCTAGATGAATAATATTTACTATATACAGAGTGTCTATTGTCTTGTGTTTTACCAAAATACTTTTTAACAGTCGTAATTCACGAAGTTTGTTGATCTGCATTTATTTTTAAAATCACGCCTAATGAAAGCCGGTTCATTACGTGAAAATATATACTGCCCTCTCAATATTTCCAATTTTAAGGTCATTTTATTACTTGAAAATGTCAGTCATGTAAAACAGTGCGTAATATATGTATATGAGATTTTGGAGCTAATGGTAAAACGAAACGAGATTTATAGTTTTAAAAGCTACTATCCAAAACTTTCCAAATTATTTGTTTTATTTCTTTTCGAGCGCTAGCTGTAAATTATTATTTTTTACTTGTTCTCAAAATAGAAATACACAGCTTGTGTGGATAACGCTTTTTAAATATTGTTCGTAGAAATCACAAGTGGTGATGATGCTAAAGATGTCGGAAGTTCTTCTGGTGTTGAAAATACAAAACAAGGTATGCCTTTCAATTCTATTTTATTTATATATATTGCATAACCTAAGCATATTTGTTTTGAATTGTATCACAATTCAAGTCATTTGATTGGTATTTATGTGTTTTATGAAGATTTATATTATTTAATAATATGCATGATGTACGTATACAGTGTTGCACTTTCGGACTCCAAACGTTCGTTTATTACGTATGTTCAATACTGTATCAATGGGTTAAATTTTCATTTTGCGAACGACAAATAATTTAAATGTACTGTGTACCAGACGGCAGTGCTCAGCACAACTTGACAAGTTTTGTTTATCTCAATAAATACTGCGTAGCAGCAAAGTGACGTAAGTCTTTTATAAAGTGCTCAAATTGACTACACTTCATAAGTTCCATTGAAGAAAAAAGATTACGTGTTTGATTACATTAATTCCTATTTTCTTTGTTAGAGTACAGGAGATTGGTCGGAGTATAACTTTTTTCCAGATAGAAATTTATGTTTTTTGCTACTGGTTTACAGCATCGAAAGTATTGAAACATTTAAAAAAATCACCAAGTCCAAGTTCTAATAAAAGTTTTCTTCAAATACAGTCTTCAATCAACCTTTTACATTAACAAATTTTATAAGAATTTTTCATCACATGCCTAAGCAACACTGAATGGTAACATTTGCGGCTGGTTTAATCTGTTTTAACCATGACAGTAAAATCTTGTCACTTCACAATTTGTACTTGAAGCCATTATCAGTCAGTTGAAATCAAGATGAGACATGAGGTGATATCATGCAATCTATTTTTTTAAAGTAACGTTTATTTTTATTCTGCTTGTTTAATAATAAAAACTTCTCAACAAACTATCCTTTGGATATACTGTCATACTTCACGTTTGCACCACCATGCATACATTACCTAGCTAATAACATTGAAAATTATGCAAAGAACGGCCACCATCAAATGGACTTGCTCATATACTTCAATAAATAAGAATTCCTGTTCATTGTAATAAAATACCTCAAAATCATATGGAAAATGAGCCAATTTGACGATTTGAATTCTCAAAGTTCCACAATAAAAAGAAGGCTATTTACAATTTTCATTATGACAAATGTAGCATTAAATTGCACATTTATTAAACGATCTTCTAAATTCTAAATTTACAGAAAATTACAAGTTTTTGAGCTCTCTCTTGCTAAGTATACTGGAGATTACCTTTTCAGTGTGAACATCATTCAAAAGTCCACAAAGATCATTTTCTATCTTAGAATTAGATTTTGAATACTTTTACTTAGAATTGCATTTTGAAAGTTGCATAGAGCATAAAAGTTGCTGTACCAGTTTTGTCTACTAGAAAATTTCACAAAATAGGTAAGCGAATAACGTTACTAATCGCAAAACATAAAAACAACGACTTTGTTCATTGATTTCAATAAATTACTCCCACTGTTCTCAAAATAAATAAATATAATTATTTGCACTATATTAGAAGAGCAAGTGACTCCAAAATCTCATTTATGATTCAAACTGTGTCTTAATTGATGATTGTCAAATGGCTTGATGACCTCCATTAAAAAGTGCACGTGAATCAGACCAAGCCACTTACGACTTAAACCTCCCGAGCAAGAATAACGCTGCTGCTGAAATATCGCTTACACAACTCAATGGCTGTATCATGTTTTCTCAGATATTGTAGCACGGACCACTGTATAGAGGGCCGAAACTATAACTTTTAGTGGAATGGGGAGGGGTGTTTAATAACGCTGCAGCTGAAATATCGCTTACAGAACCCAATGGCTGTATCATGTTTCCCAGATATTGTAGTTTGGACCACTGTATTAATGGAAAAACTATAACTTTTAGTGGAGTTGGGGAGGGGGTGTTTAATAACGCTGCTGATGAAATATCGCTTACAGAACTCAATGGCTGTATAATGTTTCTCAGATATTGTAGCACTGACCACTGTATACAGGGCCGAAACTATAACATTTAGTGAGGTGGGGGAGAGGTGTTTAACAACGCTGCTGCTAAAATATCAGTTACATAAATTGATGGCTGTATCATGTTTCCTCAGATTTTGTGCTCAGACCACTGTATAGAGGACCGAAACTATATATTTTAGTGGTGTGGGGGTAACATTTGTTGTTCTTCTCTGTCATCATAATTATTTCACCTCCTACTACTTTACTTCAACATCTTATGATAAATTAGTGATTATTGTAATTAAGTTTTAGGTTTAATCTTAACAGATTTTGATTTCATCATTAAGAAATTTATGATTATTTGATGGTTGATGAAAACTTAATTTTGCAAAATTAACATTCTGTATTCTAATCCTTCGGGAATTAAAGGAATTTGTGCTACCTTTTTGTTTATTGTTTTGTGTCACTCACCTCATGAAATTTATACTTTTGCCATTTTCAGAAAAACAGTTTCCAAAGTGGAAATGCACTGAAAAATCAACAAAGCACAGAAAATTGTTGCTAAAGTTGATAGAATATGACCGTGATCCCAATGTCAAGGTTGAAAATGTGGGCGATGTACGTGTAATTTTCTCAGACGAGTTTTGCATCGGCAAAGGAAATAATGAAACCCGTGTTTATCTTGGACTGAGAAAGGATGGTTTCGGCAAAGCAGTGAAACGAATACGTCGAGATAACTGCTTCAAGGATGCACTGCAAGAAAAGGAAATTTTAAATGATTTCAACGCAAAAAAGTCGAGATATGTTGTAAACTATTCCAACATAGAAGATGAAATTGGATCAGAATATGTTTATTTGATATTAGACTTATGTGAAGAATCGCTGGAGAATTTTGTGACTTCTTCTTCTCAACCTGATCTTCAAAAGCTCTTCCTGAAATTCTAAAGCAAATTTTAAACGGATTGGCGGATCTTCATAGCAGTGTACAACCTATTCTTCATCGTGATTTAAAGCCATCCAATGTTCTCCGAGACTCACAAAGCAAATTTCTCATAGCTGACTTTGGTATCAGTCGAATATTAAACAATGGTTATAAGACATATAAAAGCAAGGGTAACATGGGAACTGAGGATTGGATTGCTCCTGAATCATACTGTGAAGATAATGATTCAGTCGATAAAGGACGATACAAAAAAGAGTCTGATGTATATGTAAGTGTAGGAATGTCAACATTTACAAATCACGCATAAATTTGATTGTGTTAAATTATTGTTTTGCTATTAGCCGCGTTTTCATTATTGTAGAATGCAGGGATGGTGGCTTATTATGTTGCAACAAAAGGAAACATCCTTTGGAAATAAGCCGAGAGACTGACAACATGTTGAATGGGAAACCTGTTGGCTTGGACAAAATCAAGGATGAGACACTGAATGATCTTCTTTTGTGGATGTTAAATCTAAAACCTGAAGATCGTCCATCTGCCATTCAAGCGTTAAAACACCCATTTCTTATGTCAGATGACGATAAGTTTGACTTTCTATGTAAAGTTGGAAACCAACAGCCAATAAAGACAAGCGATAACGAGTCAAGTGTCGTCAAACAATTAAATAGCAAGTATTCAAATTGGGAAAGTTTTATAGACATTGATGTATATGATTATTTAAGAACAGACGAGGAAAAGGGAAAAATGAAAACTTATGGTCCTTCATTGACAAAATGCCTGAGACTAATTCGAAATGTAGGCCAACATTGGTACGATCGACCACAGCCAAGACCACAACCATTTTATAAGATTGGCGATCACAAGGCATTTTTTCTCAAGACATTTCCCAATCTCCCTGCTTGGGTGCATGCTGCTGTGAGGTCAAATGAAGAATTTAGAAACTATGAAGAACTCGAGAACTTTTTCAATGAAAGCAAACCACATCAGTAAACAGTTTCAAACAGCAACATGGATCAACTAGTTCACGCAAATCTGCTTTCTATATTTTAATGAATTTGCAGATCATATTAAATTAGCACATTATTTCATGTTATATACCAGTACCTGTGGCATAGCACAGGATGGCTTTTCTTATATGTTTGGGTGGGGTGGGTGGGTGCTGACCCTTTATAGCTTTTTGCTATAAGGAGACAAGAGAAGTACAAATTTCTTACAAATGCTTATTTACTAACCTGGTTTGTATGTAATGGAGCATACTTTCTCATATCTCAATAACTGGTATGAAAGTGACAGAGTCAATACTACAAAAAGGACCCACAGAAATTTGATCCAAACTAGATCACCAACCCCATCCCCCATCCCTTTGAAATGTGTCCAAAAGTGTAAATTTCAGGTTTTATATTGCAGGACTATGTTATTTGGGCTTTATCTTGTTCAGTCATTCAAATCTGCAAACTACCCAAAAATCAAATTTTTACCTCGCTCTTTACTGAATGAAATATATGATTTCCACAACTAGGTGTTTTAAGATAAATTGATCTTCTGCCTGTACTTTCTTTCCATTGTACAAATCTCTTTTTAATGATGCTGCAGCATCTTGCATTTTTCTTTTTGGTTTAACATCACCTGACTTGAAATTAACCTAAGCCAGAAAGTGTATGATTTGAAAGAAATTGTTTAAGAAAAAACCTGCCTATGCAATGAATAACCTATCCTGTACTCTGGGAATTTCAAGATCCGAGACATGTACACTTTACTTGGGCAGCCAAGTTTTTGGTACTTTGAACATGTTTACGCCTTCTACGGGATGTGTGGTCATGGTGATGAATGATAATAAGTTTATTATGTAATAAATGATTGAATGCATACTATAGCGTCAGTTCGTAAAAATAAACACTGATATGAATGATGATTTACAACCTCTTTCATTTCTTTCCTTTGCCCTTTTAGTTTTTATATTTACATCAACATCATTTGCCTGATGACATTGAAAGTTTATTGTTCCAACACAAATGAATGGAATGCCATCAAAAGTAATGAAATTCCACCTTTATTGCTTTCGGTCTACTGCAGCCTGGTACATGGATTTTACATTGTAAAATTTCATCAACTGTCTTGCCTTAATAATATCAATTAAAAGCTTTATATAAAATGTAAATTTATATTGTGAGTTTGTTTAAGGTTAGGGATTAAATAGAGATGACATTAATACTTTATATGGTGATGTAAATTAAAAGATTAATGATATAATTTAGATGGCGATGGTAAAATTGAATGGTGATATAATTTAGAAGATTGCATAAAGTTCAATGAGAAAACAGTAAGCATATTATAAAGCTAAGAGAATAAGGATTATCTAAGAAAACACTCTCTATTTAAAAGGTCTAGGTGAGGTAAGGTCAGAATTAATGCATAGTAGTAGCAGTTTATAAATGGAAAATATCACAGCGACAACATCAATTGTTAGAAATTTCTATGCCTTACAAATAAGATAAAATTGTATAATATTTCTAATTGGAAATTTAGTTATGGGATCTGACCAACCTTGGATCATTATTGCACAGGATATATAGCTGCAACCCCTTTCCCCACCTACCCCTATTCTATGGAATCTTCATTACAAAAGTAATAGCCCATAAAGTATTATTTTTATTTTGGTTGTAAAGCAATCAATTAGCAAAGTGTCCTTATTCACCCTGTGCAATGTTTGCTTATCCATCATGATAGACACTCTGCTTGTTTACCTTTTGCTTGTAGCTAGGCAGATACGTTCAAGTGCTTTTAGATAACAGTAGCAAGAATGATTAACCTCCTTTGATACTAATCTGCCTGCCAGTAGCAGCGAAATGTAATATAAATTGAAGTATTGTGATAGTGATAGGCATTGAAATTATGACTAAACGTCAATTTCTAAAGGTGTTTTTATAGATGACTTGCCTTGTTTACATTTTGCTGGAAGGCAGATTTGGTTGAGTTGTTTTGGAAAACACTGGCAAGAATGGTCAACCTCTTGAGATTAACTTTCCTGCCAACAAAACGTAAACAAAGCAGGTCATTTTACACCCTTTCCTGCTTAAATAAGTATTTCAAGACGTAAATGATTGTTATCGTGGTTCTTACTAAAGAGCGCATTCGTTTTCACACATCTTCATCCAGTACGTGTTTCTCTTTATAGGACTCGAAATTTTGTAACAGTTTTCCCGTGAATAAAACGTTTTGGTAGAAGCCATCAATAAAACAGAAATAGAATAGAGTAATATGAATAGCGTAAGTCATCTTAGTTTGGCGCACAAAATTACCGCTGACTGAAATATTAAGCAGTCTTGAATTTGTTCATACGCTGACTATGATCTAACACCGACCACCAATGAAATATAGTAATTTAGATGAGGATTTCCATCCAGGTAACTACTATACAGGCCAGTGACTACACGTGACTAACTGCTGCCTGTAATTATCATTGAGTTAAACCAATTCAATTACCATTGTAGCACTGTAATTACCACTGTAATTATCATTGAGCTAAAGGAGTAACGTCGGGTAATTTTTCTCAAAATTCGGGCCATTTTAGTGATTAATTATTTATTATTTACTTTATTTAACAAAACTAATTTTAGCAAGGTAATAGCGAGAAATTGTATTAAATTCTCTGTGAACTTTTCCTTGCTATTTATTTTAATAGTACTATCAGATAAAAGCATTTGTGAGTAGATTAAATATGTAAAAGAAATATTTTCCATCTAAACCATATTTGACATTTAATTTCATGGGTAGGGGTAGGGATAGGGCGAGGCAGTAACATGGCTTCAAAATTTACCTTGAAATAATTGCCATCCGTAATTACGCCTTTCCTGCTTTCACGTTTTAATCGAATTACATATATATTTGTCAAATAAGTTGACAGTTTAACGTCGTATAATGACAGAAAACTATAAAGACAATTATTCAAAGCGGGTACACTAAAAAAGGGATGCCTATTTCTCTTTAAATAAATTCTTTTCTAAGGTCAAATTTAATTCGATCCCTCAGCCATCTTCAGTGAACTTTCAAGCACAGGTCTCTTCATAATTTTTAAGGCTGAGGTGATGATGAACATCCAGTAGTAAAGGTGCCTCTAACATGTGCATAGAAATGCAAAAACATTGAAATTGAAAGGATGGAAAATTTACAAATTGTACGACATATTTACATTTTCCTAACCTTTTCTTTGATAATCAGCTAATACAACTATAACAAATTCTTTCTGATCTCATTTGAATGATGTTTGACAGCTGACAAATGAATTCATAGTCACATGTTGCATCATGTGATAAAATCTTTTATTAAGCCCTGGCTCCCGGGCATTCCTTTTCCTACGTCACTGCTTACTCCTGCCTATAGCTTTTTCCATTCTTACATGCATTGTTTTGTCGCTTTTTGTAAAATTTCCCACCAAATAGAAATGAGCACAAGTCGGTGTACTTTAAGCTTATTATAAATGCACAAAATAGATTATCTACAAATAACTTAGTAAGGTATGATATCAGTTGGTAAAAGCCAAAGTACTCAAGCAATATATACACAAAATGAAGAATAAAAACAGTTTAGCGATATTTTGACCTTAATATCATGCAGCAGCCATGCAATCCAGGTTTATAGTGTTTCTTATATCAATGAATTTAATGTAGGCAGTTTTCGTTTTGTCGGGCAAGAATGTGTCAGCACCCCAAATTTTTTATGCCCATGATATTAAGACTGCAGGGAGCATGTCATCGAACTAACAAATAAATAAAATTTAACCGTTGTCTATACAGTAATAGATACACGGGTATGACGTCAATTGTAATAAAAACTAAAAAGTGGCCACGATCCTCCGGGGAGAGTGATCACTCTTTGTTTTTATCACAAATGACGTCTTTTCCTTGTATCTATAACTGTATAAACAACGGTTAAATGTTATATATTTGTTTTGTATAATAAAATCAATAAAATTCCAAAATTAAACCGTCAAAAGTTTGTTTTCTTTGTCTACCAACACTTGGAACATTGAAAAGTCTTGATTTTGCAATTATGCTTACGTGATGTATAGGATTGAGAAATGCCATTGGCTTGATTAATCACGTGATAAAATGTGATTGGCTGACAAAATAAACAAGCAATGGCTTATCAATGTTGTTGAAATTTTGTTATCTAAAATGAAGTACAAATCAATGCTTGAAAACCATGTTTTTCCCTTTTTTTTTTCTCAAATACGTTCACTGTTTCAACCAGGCATTCTTAATTTCTTTATTTTCCCAATCAGGGACAAATTCAGGTAAATATTCAAATAAATTCGCCGTTCGTTTGTCATTTGAAAACAAGAAATTTCCTGTGACTTTAATTCCGTGCGTCTGTCCTCTTACAGATCACAGCTATCGACCAATGAAATTGCTCAATTTCTTCAGGTTATTTTATAAATTACTATAAATTATAAGCGCGCGGCCTGTGGTCAAAAACATGGCGGATTTTGGTTGTCAAAGTCAGCGGAAAGACGCGGTCTCATGAAATAAAAATTTTGTCGCCCTCCCGGATTTGACCACCACGATTGCGAACTATTTATAAAAAAAAACACTTTTTAAAATTTTGTTTATTAAACAATCTGCACACTTCCGTGGTATGCGAATGCCAAAATAGCGACAGAAAAAGGAAACATTTCATGACTCCGGTAAGTAGCATAGTATTGTTTATCATTTAAAGTGTTCATAAGTTTCACTATTTTGTTTTTTAAAGAATACTTGAAGAGTGTTTCTACTACTAAGTTGTAATTTAAGTTATGTTTGTCCAGTCTTGTTTGTTCTTTACTTCATCGCTTACCAGACGAGGCAAAGCAGCCAATTCTTATCGAGTTTCCCATCTATCTTGCATCATGATCAAGCTATAATCTCTTGATGTAAATTGAGTTTACCTCCCAAATTTGTCCGTATTTTTTTGGAAAATATGAAGGAAAAGTTTAAAACTGAATTGTGTTGAAATGGAACGCAGTGCCATTATAAATATAATTGAATTAAACTGCTTGCCTGCTCAAGTTCGTTGACTGTAGACAATCATATTAATGGTTGCCAAGTTGGATTTATGCAAACAGTTTTATTAATATCATTTTCTGTAAAGGAAGTATTTATTGTTATAGTAAACAGGATAATACTTCAAAACCAAGATAAAAGAAATGTGTTAAACATTGTGCTAAAATTTGCTCCTACCTAGAAAATTTTGTTTAATAATAACTTGCTATAATATCCGAGGAAACATGATAAAGCCGTTGAGTTCTGTAAGCGATATTTCAGCAGCAGAGTTTTAAACATCTCCTCCCCACCCCACTAAAAGTTGTAGTTTCGGTTCTCTATATAGTGGTCCGTGCTACAATATCTGAGAAAACATGATGCAGCCATTGAGTTCTGTAAGCGATATTTCAGCAGCAGCATTATTAAACACCCCTTCCCCTCCCCACTAGAAGTTATAGTTTCGGTCCACTAAAGGGTCCACTTAGTGGATCACTTTAACTAAAGTTAAAGTGGTCTGAATTTTATATTCTTAAATTGACCTGAGCTAGCTAATTTCTACCTTTTTATATAGGTAGAGTTTTTCACCTAGTGTTGTTATTATTTGTTATGAAAGTGAAATATGTTTGCATTGAATGCTTACAAGTTATTCAGGAAGGCTTCCTCACAACATAAGCATACCTGAGGCTATAGCAAAACTGTGTTGGGAAATTTAAATTTGTCTTTTCTGTTTCCGGAAGTAGAAGAGCATATATATGATTCCACAGTGGATGACAATCATGTTTATTCTCTTATAAAAAAAATGTAAATTGCTATTGTAAAATACGACTTTGCCATATAGGTAAAGAGACAACACAGAGCATATGTGGCGATAAATGTATAGGTCCGTATATCATAAGTATAACTTACACTTTCCGTTCAATTTCCTGGGCATGCGAACTTTTACAAGTGGCATTGCTTTTCAATATCTTCTTATTGTCAAGTTAACAGCATATCTAGTTGTAACACGAGTAATTTCTTGAATTGTTGATGGTTAGTAAGTATATAAGTATGCACATTTGCTACAATAAAATACTTTAAAGTGCACATACAGCCTTTCCAAATTCGTTGAAATTTTAAAAGTTTAGACTGTGGAAAATATGATTTCGAAAAAAATTTCGTAAAAAAAAAAAACAAAGTTTTTTGCGGTTTGAATTAGCTTGCTTTTGAGAAATTCCGCGCCGCTGAGGGACTTAAAACGAGAGGTTTGTGACGTCATTTAAGGAACGTATGAATGCGCTGCATACAAAACAACATATATAGTGTGAAATAACAATTCTTTATATATTGCTTTGAAATTAATATAAAAATTGTACGAAACATGTCGACATCTGATTCTGAGTCGAGTACAGCAACAACAGCGGAAAATATTGAATTGAACAGTCGGGAATTCGATTTAGAAGACGAAGATCAATCGTCATCAAATGCGCTCCGCAACACCGATGGCGATTTTGAGTATGGCCAAGCTGAAGCGTATGAAAACGAACCACTTGCAGATGAAGAGTGGTTAGAAAACTATATTAGAGAGACAGAAGAAGAAAGACGCCAAACAGAAGAGCTCGAACGCAGAATGCAAAATGAAGTTCCTCTTGATTCTTGGTAAGAAAAGTTGGAAAATTTGTTTATTTATTGTTGCCGAAGCTTTTGACAGATAACTTTCGTAGGTGCAATTGTGGTAACTGCCGTGTTCCTCTCTTGGTTAATCCAAAAGAATGTAGATGCTGCCACGAAATTGCCAATTGCATGATTGAAATGCAAGATCATATGGTGGTATCCGAATTAGGAAGGCAGCCAAAATGCATAACAGAGCATCCAGGATTTGATGCCATTTGCCTCAATCGATGGGTATTAAATTTAGCTGCCAATCTTTACCAAAGAGGAGATGGAGTTAGATATCATAAAGGATTCTTGGAGCAAAGGTTTGTTAGAATTAATAGTTAAATGTTTCTGTCTGGGTTATCTATGAATGCACACTTGCAAAATTTGTATTTTATGGACTCCTACCTGTTTTAATGGACCTTGTGTATTATGCCTTTTCAGGTTTTTCGAGTTGTTGCATATAGACAATTTACAAGAATGGTACATGGCATTCTTCGAGACAAAAGAATTCCACTTCCAGCTTGTGCTTACCATGTTATTCGAAAAACTTTTAATTTAAAAAAAAATGAACACTTTGCAGGGTATGAAGAGGACAATCTGTAAAATAACATAACATTATATATCATTTTAGGTGTTGTTTGCATGAGCCCAGCTAGTAGGGATTCAGTAAAGTGTGGAATGATTTAAGCCACTCTTGATATATTGCATCTTCGATTCACACTTATACTTGTTATACAAAACATACAAAATTACAATTCCTTTCTCTTTATTCTTTCCATGCAGTCAATTCTCACTTCACTGAATCCCAACTAACTGGGCTCATACCACCAGGTCCTAAAAAACTGGTTACTTTCGGTTTTGGACAGTTCATTATATTTTATGGCCTTTCATTTTTATGTCATTTCGTGCTGTAGAACTCTGATCACCTTTGTGGCAGAGGTTCCAGCAGTAAAATAGCAAATGACAATAGCAAATTTCCAGCAGGAATGGAAGTCCCAGTCATGACTGGTTGACTATTCCATGTTGTGGCTGCTCCACATTTTTGATTGGAACAACTAACTTTCACTTTTCCATTGAACCATTTTGCAATATCTCAACAAGAACATCATCTCATTTGCAAATTGGGCAGAATTTAAAAAGTTCAAACAGTTGGGTGAAGAACACAATGAATTTTTTCTCTGTTCTTAGGTTGGTGTCTTTGTTGAGCACTCTACAAAAGAAAAAACTCAATTTATGAAATGCAACAGTAGCTATCAATAAATACAATTACATTACATACTGGCACACATTATTTGTGTCATCAAGGTAGTGACTGATTAAATAAGCTGTTTAACTTTGATTTATTTAACAATCACCACTATTTTAACATTGTCATGGTGATTGATACATTACAGTTCTCATCCAAAAATTGTTACCTTTTAAATGTTCTTGGCTGCTCTGATTCAGAGTCAACTTCCATGTCACTAGATGTGATTATCTCTTCTGTCTCAGTCTCTTAACTTTGTTCAGCACCAAGATCACTCTCTGAGTCTGAGTCACCACTAAGATCATTTGGGTCCAAAATCTCCTCAGCAGGACAACTATCAAGATCAACCACTTTGCAACTAGTTGATGATTCTTCATTGCTGCTGTTGTTGTCATACTCATCTATGAAATAAGATACTTCAGTAATGCGCAGCTACACAAGGTTGATTAAGTCCATATTTCTTAGTAATTAACTTCAATAATTTTCCAGGGGTGCATGCAAGCTTAGTTGGTACTATTGTAGAAATTGAGGTTATTAAACATGGCTGATCCTATTACGTTGGCAAATCTTCTCTTGACCTAGAATCATACATGAAATAAAATTAACAGGCGTATTATCTTAAAAAAACACTTACCCACTGCAAGCATATCCATATTAGAACTGCTTGCATAAGTTCTGCTACACTGAAGCTTAAGCTTTTCCCCAAGCCATAAGTTCCTGTAACGACGTTTCTCTTTTTCAAGTTTTAAACAATTTTGGCATTGTAATTCACATTGCACAGCTACTTCCTAAATTAGAAACAACAGCAATACATATACAAAACAATAATTTACGTTAACCTTTACAGCAGTGGCGTAATAATCATATAAGTTTACCTTCTCTAATACAGGCTCATCACAAGTTGTTTCTTCTATTTGCTCTTGAGGTTCGCTACTTGTACTTGGAATATTTTCTGATTCAACCTCTCTTTTATAATAAGACATCCACTTTCTTTTCATGTAAAATGACATATATTTATGAAATATACTCTCACACAAATTCCAGGTAAAATGTAGATATGCATATGTATTTTCTAACGTACTCACCATTCTGCGATCTCTTGTAAGTTCATTGTCATCTTTTCGAGAATAAATGCTCGGGTAAGCAACGATTCCGAATTCATCTCGAATGAGTCGAGGTGAAAAATTACTTTCTGATTCAGAAAGCGAGCCGAATTGCCGAGAAAACGAATCTTTTGTGAAGTGTTCCGAGCAAACTGCGGAATTCTTTGTGGGGACCCACTTATCGCGAGTAGCTTTCACAAAGTTGACCCATCGCTTTTCCTACGCTTAGCTTCTTTCGTCGTTAAAAAATGGTATGCGATGAAGTGAAATGCCTTTCTCCGAACTGGCTACGTTAGAACAACCAAAAACTACACATCGATCTGGCATTTTTGTGTTTGTTTACATGCATAAACAGTGTAAGTTGTTTTGGCAGTCAGTCTGTGTTCCTTAAATGACGTCACAAGTAAGTCCCATGCCACGGATTAGAGCTCTCGGCATTTTTTACAAAACATTGAAATTCAGGTTTTATTCGCATCTTTGCCGAAAGATAACTCAAAAACGAAAAAGTTATTCAAATTCTGTAAACGGCATTTGTATTATTTATCCAAAATCTATTTGAGAATAAAAAACTAAAAATAGCTGTATGTGCACTTTAAAGTTTAAATTCAATACATGTATATTTGGATAGATATAACAAACACAAATCTTAAATATCCAAAGCAACGCTGACATATTTTAATGTTAACAGCAGAGAACGCGTTGATTCATAGAGAACATTCAAGTTGCATGGGCTTAAAATAGAAATAAAAGAATTCCTGAAATTTAACATCGACTTCTGTCAAACTTTTCAATCAAACATCTTAATTTACACATGTAAACTTAGAACAGTACATGAATTTTGACTGTCAGCTTTAAAATAGCAAGATATTATATATGTTTGTAAATGATGATCCCGGGTTCAAACCATTTACTTTAATAAGATATTATATTTTGTCAAACTTCTGATAGCACAATTCATTAACCGCAACTTGCTTGATCAGAAAATTTTTACAAATGGTAATAAACTTGGCGAAAATATGATAAAGGTGGCTTCTTGTGTTGTTAGGCAAGAAACTTCATGTTTAAATAAATCAAATTCTGTTAAAGAAAATAGGATTTACATGATTGCAACAAACATAGGGTGCTTAAAGGGCTTTTCGATGTTGTTCAGTCGCTTAAAATACAGCCAAAACTGTACAATTTTCCACCAAAAACATCAAATGAGGACGATTCCATTGAATGTTGTTCTCTGGTTTTTCACTGTCATTGAGGAATATGGCGAGACAATTTTTAGCAAGAGGTTTACAAGACATACTTCCGACAAGAACAAATGACAGGTATTAAATACTAAATTTTCAAGCTCATTAAGATAATAATTATACATTGTGTAAAATATGCTAAGCCAAGCACATAACCAATGCTATTTCGCGCGTGTAAAATAGTTATTGTTCAACAGCCGATAAATTCGGTTCTAGATCTAAATTCAAAAATGCCCACGAGGAATTTGAAGAAAAAGTGTTGCTTTACAGGAATCTTCGGTTTTTATATTTATTTACTCAAAAACGTAGCTCATGACAGGGCTCAAACAAAGTACAGTTTTTTTACTCCTATTGTTTACATTTTTGCGTTTTGGCCTTGAGATGAACAGATTTTAAATTGAAATGTACAAAAAACTTAATACAAACATGTATAGCAAAGTCCCTTTCGTAATAAAACATAAAAGAAACACAATGAAACCCGTGCGCTGACTGGTATGGAGCTCTGTTTGCATTAGCCTGTGCAAAACACATCCGAGCTCAACTAATCAAATCAATCATAACAATCAATCAGTCAGAGAAATTTCAAATTGATCATGAAAACATGTTAGAGGAAATAATAAAACGTTTACTTTAAATTTGTCTGTTTTGCATTTTTTCATGTTATAAAGGAAACAAAAGATATTTTTCGTGTTTGCACTGGCTTATGCAAACCCCGGAGGCATTTGTGAGAACTCTCGAGCAGGTGCGACCCTCGAACTTCGGTCTTGGACTTGCACTGATCTCTTCTCGGAGTCCCAAAGGTCTCCTCGGTTTGCATATGCCTGGGAAAACACAGTAAACATCTTTTATTTCTTATATGAAAAATAACAATTTTATGTCAAAATTCCACAAAATGAAATCATTCCTTTCTATGGCACTTCTCTTTGCTGCAAAACATTCTCTTTGCTCAATGCTTAAAACAAATGCCCAATAATTGTCTTTCGTTCTTCTTGCATTTTAACTTTTATAGTTGTACTTGTTGAGCTCACAACTATCCTTTCTGCTTTTGTGCTTCGGTCTTAGACTAATTGAAAAGCTATTTATTTGAACATCGCCATATTGCCATTTTATGTACGCCATGCATGTTCTAATAACAAATTTGGCGCGATCTTCCCTATAGTTAAGTAACAATACTTCAAAAAAATGAAAGTCTGTAGG